GGCAGCCGTTGCGGCTGTTTGTCTGCATCAAATTCAGATCTCGTTGGCCCTCTTGGCCACACTTCGTGGCAAGGTAATCCGAGCCGCGTTGCAAGATGCGTTTCTTATAGGCCATATTCACTTAATTTATGGCCCACTGTCGAATGGAGGGTGCAGATGTGGGCGTGGCCGGCTGTTGAGCTTATTCAATCACAATTATTCACTTGGCATTCGCAGCTGTCGCAATGCCCACGCAAACAGAGAGAGCTAGAGAGCGAGAAAGAGCAGGAGTCGAAAGAGGGGAGAAGTCTCCATGATGTTTTTGGCAAGTCGTGTGCAAATTATAAATTATTTTTAATACTTTTACTAAATAGTATATAGTTTATAGTATATGTAGATCTTTCATTGAGCAGATATTATTGCCCTGGCATATATTTTATACATCAGTATATATATATATAATTATATATATAGCTCAAGTGATATTCTTCTTAACGCCATTTGCCAAGGGTAAGGACGCAAATTTCTTTCATTTTTCATTGAGCTTTTCCTTCATTTCCCAACATTTTCTTTCGCTTTTCAACAAAATTTGATATTTGTGACTTTGGCATTGACGCGACGTCTGTCGATCGAAATAGATGATTTTTTCTTGTTGTTTTGGCCACTCAAATTGATATTGAAATTGTAATTGAAATTGAAATCTTTTGTGCAAGTTAAACCACATGAAGGCCACAAAAACCAAAACGAGCACCAAAAGTGTTAACAAAGGTCGTTAAAAATTTGTTGAGGTACTCGAACAGAGACTTTGGGTAGACGTTGCGTTTATTATCTTGGCAATAATTTCTATATTTAGCATTGCAAATTTATGTATTTGTATCCATGGATAAAAACTAAATTTTATCAAATATTTTGTTGGTCTAGTACATCAGCATTATGTATATCATATTTGACCCCCTACAATATGCTTACAAACTGACCGCAGGCACCAATAGCATACACCTGATTCATCCATCTACAAAAACTAAACTGTTATCTATTCTGATACCAGTATACATTTTTTCTATATAAACAAATAAATACCAGAGCTGACATAGTATATATATTCCTTGTTATCATGTAGTTATAAATGAATCAATCAAGTGCTTGATAGTTCTCTTTGATAATACAGTATGTATAAGAGTAAGCTGTTATTCATATCACATTAATTATTCATTATGATGAGTTCACATTTTGACAGCTTTATTTATGATTTCTCATGTAATATATGTTTTCTCAAATAGTTATCAGAAACATAAAACCCTAGTGTAAGGAATTGCCCTCATTCTTAAAATCAGTCGCAGCTCAGCTCTTGAAAGGAATATACCTTCGATCGCGAGACCAAACTCTAAACTGGATTATTCACTTAATGAGTACATTTACTCATTTACTCATTCACTTATTCACTTTCTCATACACCACTCTCACTGAATTGGGTTAAACGACGACCTACATTCAGTCAGAGAGAGAGAGAGAGAGTGAGAGAGGGAGAGAAGAGGATAGAGAAGGAGACAGAGTGTGTGCCAGAGTTATACAACTTGAAGCTCGCAATTTGACTAAATGTGAAACCGGCACGTCGCTCTCATCGCCCCCATTCGCCCTCATTCGGTCTCAACGCACTTCTCACTTTCAAATTACATAACAATCGCAATAAAACGCCCACAATCAGTGCGAAAAAAAATACCTGAAAATACAAAATCTTCGTTAGATAAAAAGTTTTGTCTGCGGCAAGCACTAAACCACCAAAACCAGCAAACCACACTGAGCCACTGCACCACAAAACGTGACTGGCAAACACTTTTTGTTTCATGTCTCAACAAGTTTGCCCGATTGACTGACTGGCTGGCTGACTGACTGACTGACTGAGGAAGTGATTGAGGCGCCAACACAAGCCGCTGACGAGCAATTAACAAGAGTTATAAAATTATAAAACAATAAAAATATTATTTATATTTATTCATTTGTGTTTCGGTTTCTGTTTCTGTTTGTATTTCTGCCCCGCAGCGTGTGCTCATAAATCAAAATGTGATTTTCTATGTTTCCATATTTAAATCTATTTTCAGGCATTCAAATTTATTCCCATTTTTATGGCTAACACATTTCGCTGTGGGTCCAATAAAAGCTGGCCTGGTGATAAACTGAATAGATGGTATTCAAGATAAATGCATATTCATATAGATAATATGTGAGAGACATAGCTACAATACATATGTGAAGCTGGACATGTAAAGTTAACAGAGACTGGCAACAGTTTAATTGTTGTCATATGCAGGGTAGTGCATTAAATGAATACCCTGCAAATTATGTATGTATAAAGTCCATCTTATTCTTTGTGCAGCACGAAAGATATGTTATTATTGTGCAAAAACATGCCATTAAGACGTAATATCTCGCTCTCTCCCTCCCTCTCTTTCTCTCTCACCTTGGTGCAAACAGAATCAACTGTTATTTTAATTATGGTCTTTTGATGTTGTTTGCGTTGTTCGACGCTGTACAAAAATTCTGCTCTGAATGACAAACGAAACCAGGCGAAAAATGCGCACATAAGCGAAAGACAGAGAGAGACAGAGTATAAGAGAGCGATAAAGAGAGAGAGAGAGAGCTTGAGTATGAAAGGCAATCTACCATGACAATTCATGAAGGTTAAATTCTTGTAAAATGTTTTCAACTGCAACAGCAACTGAAGCAAATGCATTTGCATTCACATGTGAGTGGATGCATTCATTCAGTATTCATGAATAATCGCCTTCGCAATCGCGCTCGCATTTTGTCTCTAATTAAAAAATATTTACTTCAGCGAATGTTTTCACATTCAGTTTCCCACAGATCAAGGCGAGCAGGAGGAGGCGTAAGGCCGTTAGGAGGGCGTGGCTACGAAGTAAATCAGTTGGTCATTCATCGCCAGCATAAATACGAAACTAATGAGCGCTATTTCTGCTCTCATTAGGGGCATTCCCACTTACCCTGGGACGCGCTATTTAATTTATGACTTGATTTACAGTTGAGAAGGAAGCTCTCAGCCTGCTACGCATCCCACCACCTCCTGCTGCCCCTTCCTATTTTTTCTTATTGCAATTTTATGCGTGGCCCGCAGCTGACGTCACTTTCTGTCTAATTAATTGCACCCAAGCTGATAAAAATACGCATTCCCCGCCAAGCGAAGTGGACAAAGCAATCCATTCAGTTTGCCTCTAAGCATTTCCCCATTTACCACTTTGCACTTTTCTATCTGCACTCCGAGCAGCCTCGGCTCACCATAACAGCTCAATACTTGTTCACGAGCAGCGCGAATGACGCCGCTGTATTTGAACCCTTATCAGGAATTCTAAACAACCTACTGAATCATCGCGCAACAAGTAACAAAGTTCCAATGAAAGCGCGTTGAGTCTTATCAGCGAATCGATCAATGGATTTTTAGGTATAGCCCTAAATAGAGAATGATTAATGATGCGACAGATATTCGAGATAGAAGAGTTCATTCAACTTGAGAGTAAATTATATAATTTCAGTTAAATGGGATGGGATGGGAGATGGAGAAAAAATTGATATAAATATATTTTAAGTAAAATGACTGATATTAATTTAAAGCTTAATGTTAATTTTTAAAATTCTAAATAAAATATGGAAAAATAAAAACAAACAAGCGAAACTAATTCTAAAATAAGCCAATAATATATACAAAACGCTCAGATAGATAGATGCCCAAATATTCCAAAATTATATAAACAGCTTGTGAAAGCCAAGTAAATAAAATGAAAAAAATAGAAAAAAAATTGAATAATGCAAAGCAATATACGAAAAGACTATAAACACAAAATAGATCAGAAAACAGGGCAGGAAAGACTCTTTAGATATTGCCAAAATACGTAAGCAATTGTATAAGCCGGAAAAGTAGGGGAGTTCATCTACAGGGGCGGGGGCGGATCGTCTATATTGTTACATCACTTTGGTGCCTTGGCTGACTGCCTGCGTGGTGGTCTTTTGGCAAAATGTTGAATGGACAAATCGGAAAATCGAAATATGGAAAATGGAAAATGGAAAATCGGTGTTACGTATGAACAGTGTGGCTGAGGCAGCGACAAAACGCGGGCAATGCGTATACGCGATGTGTAACGAGCAACGAAAAGGGGTGGGACAAGAATCAGGCCTGCTGGCTGAAAATAGATCAAGCAGAAAGAAACAAAAAAAAAAGAGCTCGCTATACTCGTAGAACGGCAAAGCGCAATTGCCAGAGCCGCAGCCAAAGCGAAAATCAACAGACAGAGTACAGTCGAATCATATATATATACAAAACTGTATAGAATACACAGACGAAAGATACATTTCAGGCTGACCTAGAGATACATTAATATATTTCTCTATCTTTCTTGTTGGCGCCTATTTAAATCAGATATATGCAATATTTATATATACAAATGCTTAACATATATATTACAAAATAAATGCCAAAGAAATTATGGCCTGAAAAATGAATAGAATAAACCTAAGTGAGACGAGTGCATACGACTGCCCCATGCTTGCTCAACGATTCGCAGAATCTGATCGAGCTTGATGAATTCGATGCAGCTATGGAATCTGAATAGGATTGATGTTTTTGTAAATTTTGTTATTTTGATTATATTTGTATTGAAAATATTTAAAAACCATTTCAAAATCTGTGTACAGAACTTGAAAATATTCAAAATACTTTTAAAATACATGTAATTCTAAAAACCATAAAGTAGGTAAACAGAGAGAAACAGTCAGCCAATATGCCCGTTTCGCGTAAAGTGAGCGAGTAAAAGAAGAATAAAATGCATTTGGCAGACAGATTTCGTAAATTGTCAGCGCAATAGGTAAATGTATCTGTCAGATACTGTAACTCAAAGAGCAAGAGAGAGAGGGAGAGACTAAGAGAGAGCGAGAGAGTGACTAGGAGAGCGAGAGTAAAACTTTCATATAGAAAATCTGCGCAGCCATTTCGAATCAACTAAAAATAAACTCACCTTGAAAAATTTCTTAAGATTTTGTGTGAATATATATATATATATTTAAGTTGTAAATATATATATATATATAACTGGCGATGTAGCTTCAATCCAGATAAATTGTTTGTTTGTTGTTATCGTGGCTGTTGATGTTGTTGTTTCTTGAACAATTCGAAACTGTTGGTTAAAAAAATTGGACTTTTTGTACACGAGATTTTTGTTTCGTAAGCTCTTTTCTTATATTCTTATATACCAATATACATATATGAGTGTGTATATATATATATATATAGCGGTATACAGATATATGTGCTTATTTTTCGATATACGGTTTTAACCTTCAGCAACTATGCACAGAAAATTTCACATAAAAACTTTAGTTTTTCTTTTTATTTACAATGAACACCAGCACTAAGTTAGGGCCTAAAAGAGGGATAGAAAGAGAGAGAGCAAGTGGATGAAGAGTGTGTATAGGAGAGAGATAGAAGTAGTAGTTGATTGGTTTACTGTCGTTTCTTGTTCTTTTTGCTTGATAACACTAATTATTTTCATATATTTGTTATTATTGCTGATGATGTCAGTTTATGAACTCTATATATATATATATGTATGTATATGAGTATAGTATATGGCTGAGATATCTTTACACACTGTTGTCGTTAATTGATTGATTTCTTTAAATTTATTTTGCGTTCGAGGTGTTGTTTTGTGGGGCGACGTTAACTAAGCGACGATTTTCTCTCAACTAAAGCAAAAAAGCGAAAACCGAAACCGAAAACCGAAAACTTTTGCTATGAAATGTTTTTCGAACTACACGAAAAAATAAAAAAAAAAAAGCTGAAAGAATCTTTTCAAGCAAGTGGCAGACGACGTCGCTGCCTCCGTCGACGGCGACGTCAGCGCCGCTGCCTGCATTATATGGCGGCTATATGTGCGGCCACTAGACGTTGCCAGCTAAATCCCAGAGTCCCCCTCTCTGTTTCTCTCCCACTGTCTCTTTCACTCTCGCTCTCTCTCTCTCTCTCTCTCTCTCGTTCTGTTTAGACCAGCGGCTGCCAATGTCTGTCTATATAAATATATATATATATATATATATATATATATATATA